ACACACACACACACACACACACACACACACACACACACACACACACACAAAAGGCGACAGACGAAAATGCTGTGCCTGAGCGAGCACAATCCTTCAGGATGTGCTACCCAAAGTATGACGCAGCGCTGTCGTTTATCTGTGTTTACCGGCTGCACTGGAAACGGGTATCTCGTATCGACACTGATATGCCACCCGCTCGCTATTTCGTCCTCAGGAGATAAACACTGGATGAAAATATTCAACAGCAAAAAAAAAAAAAAAAAAAGAAAAAAAAAAAAAAAAAAAAAAGGAGCAAACTTTCCACTCTTTCCTCTGCATCCGTAAAAAAACAAACACCTGGAACAGCTAAACAGGAGGAAGGCCGAAGTGTAAACACCCGCGCAGTCTCCATCAAACGGGCCTCGTGCCGTACATTCTAATGGGCTGACCCCCAGGCAGATATTGACCGAAACGGACAGAGAGAGAGAGCGAGCGGGGCGAGAGACACAGAGCAGATAGAGAGGTTCATTAGTGGAGTCCATAGCTTACATGTTTAAGTCTCTCTTGTGACCCTGCCTTTAATTAGAAAATCTGGCTGAGGCTCTGAGCGTGTGTGTTTGTTTTTCCCTACGTATACTTAACGCGCATACTCTACACAACTCAGTGGGGACAGGAGGCCGAGTCTCACTCACACACACGCACATGTGCAAAGCTCCGAACGCGTGCACTCACCGCGGGACGCTAAACTCAAAACGCTGCCGCCGCGAGGACAGAACTTCCCAGAAGTTTCCGTGTTGCTGTGAAGCACAAAGCTTCTTCTTCATGAAGATTGGATATCTGGGGGTTTTGCTCATAGTTGCTGCTTTAACGTGCAGCTAATCAATACTAATCTCTGTTCCCCCCCCCCCCCCCTGTTAAGATATTCACACTTGATCTCTTGTTACATTTTTCCCCACTTATTACTTGCTTTTTAGAACTCTCGCTCACCCTCGGCCGCCCAGGCTCCACACACAAAACCCTCAGAGAACGGATGCGGGTTTTTTTCCCCTCTTCCACCGAACCCATTAGCTGATCCCTAGGCCCGTAATTAGGGCTTGCCATTTATTTTTTTTTGATTGAGCGCGCGTGTCGCTCTCCCAATGAAACAACACCATAATTATCTCATTATGCCGCGGCCTCCATCACTGACAACGCCAAATATGATCATATTAATAGCTGCAGACGGAGGCTGATTCTGGATAAAAACACTGGAAGGGGTTTCGTGAGGAGCAGTTTGATGGGTTGACAGTCCAGGCAGGCTGCTTTCCAAACAGTGACAGGAAGAGCAAGAGTGTGTGTCTGTACGAGCACACACATTTGTCCTGTCCTATGTGTGTGTGTGTGTGTTTAGAGGGAGACAGGTAGGCTCCCCTGTTGTCATCAGCAGCTAATAACGGCTGCTGATTGCCTGTCTGCAAACCAGCGGCCGCACAACACAACAGATCTGCAGTTTTCTCAATACGACAGTGTGATGTGAGACTGATCGTCACAAGTTCGATTCTTTTTTGTTTTTGTTTCTAAATGTGATGTATGGGGGGGGGATAACTGATCAATACACCAATAAAGTCTTATTTTGCTATATTAGCTCAACCACGGATATTGCTGCCACTTAAGTCAGATGTTCCCTTCAAGCGTCACATTTCATCCATATTTCAGAGCATCTGACTCTGCAGGTTGATCAGAGAGGAGGAGGAGGAGGAGGAGGATGGAGACTGATGGGGAAGAGAGGGAGACGCAGCAGCAGGAAATGAAAGATGCGTCAGAAGACAGAATGAGAGAAAACCAAACGGCGACTGACAAAAGTCTGGGATGGGAACTTGGAGAAGAGCGAAAGGAGGAGCGGGGGGGGGGGGGGGGGGGGGGGGGACTGGAGAGGGAACAAAACAACATCAGCTGTGTGAAAGCGAGCGGATGAGAGAGTGTGTGTGTGTGTGTGAGGGGGTGCAGCTATTCCGTGGTGTTAGCCGGTGTGGGGGCAGACTAATTAGGAAGCGTGCGCCGCCACCGGCCGGTGTGGCGACTTCTTCTTGCTGCGGCCAGCTGATTTAAGCACAACACACGGGGGGGGGGGGGGGGGGAGGAGGCCCGGGCAGGCAGTTTATTCTTTGGTAAGCACACATCAAAGTGCTCGGTCAGTGTTCGCTCTCCTGCTGTAGCATCGGGAGCAGAGTCGGACAGAAACTCAGTGGAGCTCCACACTAAATGTACCTTTTTATACTGGATCAGTTACTGGAACATCTGACTCTCTAGTTCACTATAGAATCAGAGTGGTCTTGTAGTTTTTGGAAGAATAACGCAATGATAATCCCTTAAAAGTGCCAACGCGTAACGCATACTCGCGGTAAAATGCCCTCATCTTCCAAGCCCCCCCAAAGCAAACCGAATTCACTGGCATGCACCAGAACAGACACATTACTCATCATGCGTCTGCGTGCACCGCCATACAAGTGAAACTTTATTAACACTCAATCAAACACCAGCTTCCAGTAAGCGACGGCTTCCTCCGCGTAACTGACCATGAACAAAAAGAAGAGCCGGGGGGGCAAAGAAGAAGGACATTTTCTCTCCAATGAAAGAGGCTTTAAAGGCGCAGAAGGCGCTGACTTAATGTGCGGGCCGCACTAATGATGTGTTGTTTTCAAGGGAACAACATATTTTTCCTCTTTGAGCTCTTCCTCAGGCAGGTGTTGCCTGACAACTAAATCCGCAAAAGAAAACAAGTCGATGCATTTTCTGTTGGTGGAACGAGTGAATTTTCTGCATGTGCCCAAATGGGAAGTCTCCTTAATACAACATGCTGTCTGCTTCCTGTCTCTCCTCTCTATAGGGGAATAAAACCGCGTCTTCAAAATGGCGGAGGGAAAAAAACAAACATTCGGGACTTTTAAAGGGAGCCGACAAATAGCTTGTGAAAAAACGTTTCAGCAATTAGTCGAGGCCCGTCTGGAGTGATTTGAGATTTGGACTTTTGTCACAGTGGTAAACCTAAAGGCGTGTAATCCTGGCAGGAATGTGGGAGCACGCTCACTGATGTGTCATCTCCTTGTCTTAGCTTACAAGCTCACCTTCATCTTCCTTTTCTCAGCACAATGGTGCATTTCTTTCTTTATTTTGTCGGGTGTGCACCTCCCTCATATGAGAGAGAGAGAGAGAGAGTGTCTTTACATCTCTGCTTTGGCCTCTGTCTTTCCCCTCACTCCTCTTTCATCTCATCTTCCCTGTTTCTCGCTCCAGCCACACAAACAGTGCCTTCCGGCTAATAAAATTTGACAAGCATAGCTAACCTTTTTTCTCCACAGGTCAGCCTGTAGCACGGCGCTAATCAAATGAGACGCCCATCACGGCACACACCTGCCATTGAGGGCCTAATGAAAATGTCCGACGGTAAATTAGGGAGACAGCGCTGGAGTCCGCTGTTCAGGGCCTTGACGGGAGGGGGGGGGGGGGGGGGGGGGGGAGGGCACTAAATGTCTCAGTTGGCAAAACTAAGCAAACATAGTGGACTCGGAGGCATGCACATTAGCCTCCAAAAACATTAGCATTAAGGATGTCCCTCTTGTATAATGAGCACTTTTCTCCTCGGCATCAATAAAACAGCAGAAGATGAGAGAAACCAGATACAGTATGTTGTTCCCTTGGAAACACTAAAACTTGTGCATGCTATCAAGGACTGCTTTGTGAAGTGAGAAGTAGCACTCGTGCATACACTATACTGCTATATATATATATATATATATGCACAGAGTAAGTAATCTTACACCTATGATTTTAGTGCAGTGGTATAAAACGCACCGGACCACACACAGCATTGTTGCTAGGTTACACTGGGCTTCATTGCTGGAGCATTACAGGTGGGTGGCTGCGTGTGTGTGTGTGTGGCTGTGTGCGTCTATTTCTGACCGCGTGTGTGTATGTTTGTGTGAATGAAAGGCGCTGGGGTGTTCCAGCCTCGTGGCGGGCTCTCTCTCTGTGTGTGTGTGTGTGTGTGTGTGTGTGTGTGTGGTTAAACAGATGCGTCGACTTTGTGAATGAGCGCCCTCGTCCAAGCCGCAGGTGGCGGAACGGGAGACTGGAAATAGCTGGCGATGCGCGGGCCCGGGTGAGGGTGGTGAATGGGTGCGACCATGTCTGAGGTCATCAAACATGGCCGGCTATATTTAAAACACTGAATATACCTTTACTTTAGCTCAATGGTTTTGAGCTTCTGCCGTGCAACCACCCTTTAGGGACCGTCTTTCTTCGCCCCTGGAGACTCACAAGCAGAGCTAACAAGCCAAAGGAAGGCTCCTCATCCGTCATGCTAATGCTAAAGACTATCTAACATGCATTATGAGCAAAGCAGGGGAGGGAGAACGGACGAGTGACACCCGGAGAGTGTAAGAGAGAGAGGGGGAGAAAACAGGCTGGTAATGAAGTACCCACCACTAGTGGATGAGAGCTAAAGTGGTCTAACAGATCTGTCAGGCTGCTAGACTGTGGCTAATTATCCCTCCTCCTCTTTTGTCTGCATCCTCTCCTCTGTCACTTCTTCCCTCTCGAATTTACTCTGCCTATCTGACACGTTTTACTCCCTCTCCATTTTGGCTCTTTCTCTGCACTCTATTCCCCTCCTTTTTCTCTTTTCCGTCTGTCCGTCCCTCCGTCTGTCACTTCTTTCCATTCCCATCTGTCTCCTTTCCACGTCCAAACACCCTCTCTCTCTTTCTCTCGCTCTCTCTCTCTGTATGCTCTCTGTTTTTTTGTCTTCCTGGATGATGTTGGGTGTCGGGGGGCTTAGTTTTTGATTTGCAAGTCAATAGTCATTTCTGTCGGAGAGTTTAAGTTGACGGAAGTTTGAATGTGGCCTGTATCATTTCACACGGGAAATGGTAAATTTGCATTAGAAGAGCTCACTACATTTTCTCCGGGTTTTTTTCTCTCATGTACAAAAGCGGCTAAACTCGGAGGTTTCCAAAACTTCTGCAGTAATAATACATAATACGGGAGGAGTGACGGCTCTGATGAGCAGTGTCTTTCTGCGAGCATTAACCCTTTTCTTAAACCCGATATCATAACGAACAATAGAAATAAAACTGTGCGTAAAACACTTGAGCCCCCGCGATTCCGTATTTATAAGGCATGTGGGGAAAAAAGACTTTAAAATTCAACAATGGCTACTGCAGCTCTTAGCTTCTCATCCATACTCGGTCTCTATGCAGCAAAACAATGATGTCATACATACAGAGAAGGTTTTTACGGCCAAACATAATGTTCTTGACTGGGCCAAGGCCTCTCTGCCCTCTGTCCAACTGAGCATGTGCGGCAGTACAGCGCCTTGCGGAGCATCGGCAGTGAAAATCTAAAACCTCCCTCACCTGTCCGCCTGTGTTTGATGCTGGTTCTGCAGAGCCGGCGGGGGTCTGGACTTGTTGACCTTGGCGTAGAGACCGCCCAGCTCCTCGGAGGAGGCCCGGAGCTGGTTAGGCCCGCCGGTCAGCGCGGCGGGGGAGGGCGTGCGGCTGATCAGCGGCTGTGGCGAGGGCGGCTGGCGGAAGTTGTTGATGCGGGCGTAGTTGGGGTCGCTGTCGTCGTCCTCCACGTCGGGGAAGGAGGAGTCCGGGGTGACGTGGCCCGAGTGGATCTCGGCGTAGCGCGGGTCGTAGCTGTCGGAGAGGAGGCCGTTAGACACGGTTGGACACACGCATCCTTTCACTTAATCCACCCAGGTCTGATTCATACCTGTCTCGTTGGTCCTGGTTCCTGTCCAGCTCCTCTTCACTGAGGGCCTCCAGTTTGCTTTTGGAGGCTTTGGCAGCCTCTTTGCTCTTGTCGTCCTTCTTCTTACCAAATCTGGACAAAACACAGAAAAGGGACACAGATGCAACACGTCATTGTTTATTCCGAATGGTTGAGTTATCCCTGCAAGTTCCTGCTCCTCTTTACAATCTTAAAAACCTCTGCCAGATAGCATCACAGGCCGTGCTTTTACTTTGAAGGCAAGATTTATGTGCATTAATGAATTCTTTTTGCAGACTTTTATGATGAAACAATAAACTTCACTCAGGCAACAGAGCTTGCACGAATTGATGAAAGTGGCTCTTTAGCTCACACAACATGCAACCACCACACACACACGTCCAAATGTTGACACACACACACACACACACACACACACACTGCTAGAGCAACTCATTGTTACTCCTGTGTGTCCATTAGTGGCTTTTCTTCATGATAGATGTGGTTATAAAGTCACAGCGGGCACTGACAATCCACAGTGTGTGTGTGTGTGTGTGTGTGCGTGGGCATATGAAAAAGGGGTATAGTTGTCACGCAGCATATGCAGCATGAATATTTTAACGTTTTGTCGAATAAAATAGCTGTTAAAACACAGTGTGCCATGTTTTTCATATTAACTTTGCCATAGCGACCATCATCATCATCATCATTCGCGAGCTCTTATTCTTTAAAATATACTTGTCACCTCTGTTCGAGTCATAAAGAAGCTCCACTTCACACATTAAAAAAAAAAAAAAAAGTAGCGAGACTTTTCCTCTAAATATTTCATATTCTTCTATCTCTCCTTCACATCATCTTTCTCACCCCCCCTCTATCTCTCTCTCGCCTCCTCAGTCTCACCCAACCAACCCACTTCTTTTTTTCCTTCTTCCTCTCCTCCTCCCTCTCTCTCTCTCTCCGAGCTCCCGCTGAGCCAATCTAACGTCTGTGTTTATCTCATTAACAGCGAGGCACTTTCTCGTCGCTGCCACAGGCAGATACGTGGCCCGAATGTCAACCCGCCGGCCCGGGCCGAGAGCCGGACAGGGGGAAAACCAATTAGAGTTGTTTACCAGCTAACCCAGTCACCTCGCTTATACCTGTGTGTTTTAACATGTTTTAATATGTTTTTGCTGTGAGGAAGGCACAGAGAGGTGACCGTAACAGTCACTATATATTATAGTATTGTCTCAGACCTGCACAGAAGATATTACACAAATGCACAATCACAGGCTGAGTTGTGGTATCCATTACTGCCGAACTGATCTTTGCAAAAACGACGGAGTGGCCCCTTAAAGCAAGTATGAGTCGTCTGCAACCTCCCTTTATTTCGTCTTCAGCCCTTGTTGCCGCAGCGTCTCTCCACCTCGCTTCCTAAAGATCACTCGCCACGGGGACAGTGTGGGCGCTGCCGCAGCAGCTTTTGTTTCTGCAAATAATCTTCCACGCACACCCACATTACGCGGGGAGACGAGAACAGACTACCAATTACTTCCCTGATGAGCATATAGAACTCAAGTTACGTGTAGAAGACATATCTGCGCCACTCATCTCAGTATGCGTCAGACTGAGACACGTAAATATATGATTATCCAAGAATCCCAGGTTTATCTTGGCTTAGATGCCTGATAGATTCAGCCCGCCTACACGCCTACACACACACACACACAAAGCACCTTCATCAACATTCAAAGGGGGCAGAGGTCCACAGTTGGACCCATCATTATATCTGCATTAATTAGGAAAGCCTCCTTTTCTCACTGCATTGTCTGCAAAATAGATGGAAGGAAAGAGAAGGGGGGGATGCAGAATGGGTGTGGGACTCCCAATTAGAGACATGTACCTGCCATGAGGGAGGCGGTTATCCCCCGCTCTCCCATTATCTCATCCCTTCTTCATCTCCAAAACTCCCATCTTTTTCCCACTGCAGTGAGCCAACTGTTTGGTAACGATGTCTCTTGTCCATTTCTTTTTTTCATTACACGCTCTCTCTCTCTCTCTCTCTCTCTCTCTCTCTCCTTTATTAAGTTCTGTCTCTTCTCAGGACGGTTTCTGCTCCGTCACTCTTTCTGACAGTTAATTTCCTGTCAAGTGCCCGACTGTTGCTGGATAAAAAAAAATAAACAACTTAAAAGCTACACACGGCAATCTGGAAACCAATATATTGCACGCAAATGCAGGTGAGCGGCCACACAAGTTGCAGCAGACAGCAGCATACATCAACACACACGGCAACTCTGTGGGGACCTGCAAACAGTCTCATGGAATAGGACATCTCATTAACTTAGCATTATCTACCTACACAACCACTCCATCAAACCCTCATTGGGGGGGGGGAGTAGCGGGGGGTCCGGGTTCGATAGACCCCCCACTGTCACCGGAGCTACTGGGAAAGCGTTATTAGCGCGTCGCTGCCGTTGCCCCGCCGTCACCTCCGCGAGACCGGCATCCTGAGAGGACACAACGGTTCGGTTTGCATTGAACTCTGGGAATGAGAGTTCCTCTGGTATGTTTGTCGCTAGAGTTTATTGGTGATTGATGCTAAAGAACTAATTTGTTCATCTTCTTCTTCCTCTCTCCATTTGCCTGTGAAAAACTGAAGACGGCGATCATGGACGATGACTACTGCTGCTTTGGACACTCAGCTAGTCGCAAAGGAAACTCGCTGAGGGAAACTGGACTGACTGTAATTACTGCAGCTACTGTCATTCTCATTACTTTAAGGGAGGGGGGGGGGAACGTGCCTGCGCTCAGTTAGCCGTGCTCTAATGAGGCTCTATATGCAACATGGAGATCACAGCCAGCCAGGGTGCTGAAGTCGCCAACCTGACCCGTGCAATTAGCCCCTCCAGAGAGAGAGAGGGAGAGAGCGCTCACTCCGTTAGACCAACTTATCTATTACACAACATTTTCTTAACTAACTGCATCAGACTGCTGCACACGCCAACTAAACGCTTCATCTCTGCAGACTAAACGCCGTGACATCTGTCAGGAAATCATCTCTCCGCGGGGCCGCTTTGTTTCTTTCGGCAATTGCGACAACATCTCTGACTGTGTGTGTGTGTGTGTGTGTGTGTGTGTGTGTGTGTGTGTGCGCAGTGTAAGTCGAGTGTGCGTCGCCCTTAATAAGCTTTCCTATCTCAGTGGGTGGCTGGGGTCGGGCATAACGAGGGCCGTGAGAACGCTGTCTGGCACCGTGTGTGTGTATGTGTGTGTGTGGAGGAAGTCGTGTTTTCAGGATTTAATTGACGCGGGTGCATGTGTGCATCGTGTGTGTGTGTGTGTGCGCATGTGTGACCTCACGCGCTCACAGTCTTGACGAAACTCGTGAACACCTTGGCATGCGGTGTTTGAGGTGAGGCACACACGCGCACACACACACGCACAGCTCTAGCCTTGGTGTCTAAAATGTGAACATTTTCTAAATATTTCTAATGTGATTAAAAAACACGATTGGACGAGCAACGTGGTGTGACGGTCGAGACTTAAATCACAGCAGAGGCAGAACACAGAGATTTCTTGCAACAGGCTCGATGCGTTTTTTACGGAAGAAGAAGAAGAAGAACAGCTCAGAGCAAGTGAGAAAACTGGCCAAATATCCCCATTTGTTTTGGGGAATGAATGAAAGTGAGATACAGAGGCAAAAAGAAGCAGAGAGGGTGAAAAGAAGAAGGGATTAAATGAGCGCTGGCTAAACTGCCCGTCCGCCTTGGAGAATACACGAGAGACAGAGGAAAGAATAGGAAGAAAGAGAGGAAGTAAAGAGAAGTGAGAGAAAAAGAGGAGCGATGGATGCGTGAGCCAAAGCTCCTGTGAAAGTGCAGCTCGGCCGGGGGAGGAATAAGGAGCTTAGGACTATATTGGAGCGGTGCGGCGGCGTTCAGAGGCACGGGGAGAACAGTTAATCAGCCAAGCAGAAATGTTATCGCAGTAATTAGATTGCTCTTTATGTATTTGGAGAGGAGAGCGCACATCTCAGTGGGGCTCGCAGTGAAAAGAGAGAGAGAGAGAGAGAGAGAGGAGGGAGACGGGTGGAGGGAGGGTGAGAGAGAAACAAGCCGAGGAGCAAACGGGGAGAGAGAAATGGGAGAGAGAGAGAGAGAGAGAGAGAGAGATTAACACTATAAAGAGTTGTGATGTAACACAGAGCCTCCTTCTCCCCGTTCTGGCAACGCGGCGCTGCTTCACGGTGAGACAAGTCGGAAAATATTTCCGGCTCGAAATAGACAGAATGACACCGGCGGCAAAAAATAGACAACAAGTGCTCTTTTAAAAGTCGGTGAGGTGGTTTCCTGGTGGAACCGGGGGATCGGGCTACGAGTAGACTGTCGCCCCAACAAGGTCAAGCCGGGGCGCTGAACGCTTTCGATTGACAGCGCCGTCAGCCAATCCTGTGCCTCCCTGCGGAAAGGCCCCGGCTTTAAAAGAATAATAGAAGAAGAGGGAGAGAGTGTGAGAGATCCGCCCGGCCTTAATCGTAGTTAAAAGAGCTTCACTTAGAAGCTATTAATAATGTAGGGAGGAAGATGCGGGTCGAGGATTCATCTGTTAGTTCTGATTTTCAATCTTTTCGTACGAATGCACAGCAGGAGGAAAAGAACGCTTTTCTTAATCAACGCCTGGCCAGTCCCCAAAGTACTGATACCTCAGTCAGACAAAAGAGAGAGTGGGTAATATGAAGGTAATAGGAAAGAAGGAAGGAAACTGTGAGAGGAAGGAAAAAATAAGAAGTGGCAAAGAGAGAGGAGGCAGGAAGGAGAGAAGGGGGGCAGGAAGAGGGAGGGGAGACAAAAGAGAGAGTTGGAGAAAGGAAGAACGAGGCGAGCGGCTGCATGATCTAGGAAACAGGAAAGTTAGGAAGGGGACCGGAGAGAAGGAAAAAGGGAGGAGGGGAGGAAGAGAGAAAAAAAGAGAGAGGGATGAAGATGGAGATCAAGGAGTGGATAGGTACGGAGAAAGAGAAGGGAGATAAAGTAAGAAAAAAGACAAGCAATAGAGATGGGAGGAGAACAGAGGAGTGGAGCAGGGAGGCAAGCAAAGTCAGGGGAGAGAGGGAGGAAGAGAGAGAGAGAGAG